TTTGAATACAAGGAGCACAACTCCTGGCCACATTCTCCACATCCTGGTCCAACCCTGGCCACCAGACATAACTTCTAGCCAGTGATTTCATCTTGACTATACCAGGGTGGCCCTCATGAAGCATCTCCATTACCTTCTTTCTATGCACAGTGGGAACCACCACTCTCATCCCCCACAACAAACAACCTGCTTCCACTGTCACCTGATGTCTCCTCCTCCAGTAGTCCCTTAACCCCTCCTGAAGTGTGTATTGTGGCCAACCACACTGGACAAACATCAACACCTTACTAACCACAGGGTCACACCTAGATGCTGACCTGAGTTGCTTGTGGGTTAGAGGCAGAGCTGACATTTGTACTACATTAAACATGCTAGCCACATCAGGAACATCAGAGGTATTAACGTCAGAAAGGGGAAGCCTGGATAAACCATCCGCATTACTGTGATCTCCAGTACCTCTATAACCTATAACAAAAGAATAGGCTGATAAACAAATGGCCCATTATTGCAATCGTGCTGCAGCAAGTGTCGGAATACCTGTTTTAGGCCCTAATATGGTAGTAAGAGGTTTATGATCAGTCAGCAAGGAAAACTACCGACCATACAAATTTTGGTGGAACTTTTTAACTCCAAATACTATGGCTAAAGCCTCTTTTTCTAATTGGGAATAATTCTTTTCAGTGGCTGTCATGGTTCTAGAGGCAAAAGCAACTGGTCTCTCTCTACCATCAGGCATTGTGTGTGATACTACAGCTCCAATCCCATATGTTGATGCATCAGTAGCTAGGGAAATGGGTAAAGCTGGGTCAAAATGAATCAATACATTGTTTGAGGTCAAACTGGCCTTAGCTTCAGCAAATGCTTGAGCACAATGCTCAGTCCATTCCCATGTTACATCCTGCTTCAATAACTTATGCAATGGGTGTAATAGACTTGACAAGTGTGGAATAAAACTACCATAATAGTTCAGTAGACCTAGGAAAGACCTAAGCTCCTTGACATTTGAAGGCTGTGGAGCAACAACAATGGCCTTTAATTTATTAGGAGCAGTGTGCAAGCCATGTGCATCGATAACATGTCCTAAGTATTCTACTGACTCACGTAAGAAATAGCATTTCTCCCTCTAAAGTGTAAGTCCGGTCTACTTTTGGCGAATTTTTTTAATTGGCTTAATATGATTGCCTGACCATAATAATGATGTATTCCAACTCCCATTGTCTAAAAAAATTTTTTCACTGAGATATGAGCCTTCAAAAATGCTCATTTTTATTACTTCCTGTCGGTGGGTGTGGCTAA